GTGGGAAATTTGTTTTGTTACAGCAGAAAGTGGACAGTGCAAAGTTACATAGCAAAAATTATAAAACATTATAAGGCGTTTAATGTGCCTCATAATCCAGTGCTCCTTATGACTTCATATAAAATACACACTGCAAACAGAGCTGAGTAACGCAGTCATAAATCATGTTTATATAAATAGTTAAACGATGACAGAATGTACCTCCTTCTTCTCTTTCCTTCTGTTGCTGGTTTTTGTGGGCACACCTCCATCACACATCACAGACTGAAGGATGTGGTTTTTCCACCTCCTTCGCTCCATCGCGTTTGTCTTTGTTTTAAGCGCCTCAGAGTTCAGCGACGGTTACAGCGATACCTTCTGCTTGTGTTCATCCACCTCTCTTCCTCTTCTCTGCCACTCTGTTTGATTACGGTTTGGACAGCCTACGCCGCACACCCGAGAACATCTCCAGTTTAATCTAAGCGAGCCTCCTCTCCATCCATCCTTTCATCTAACCCCCGGCTCTCCCATCACATCTCGCCACAAGTGCTTTAAAACCATATAATACACCCGAGGATATTTTTAGACCTGTCCCCTACACCTCCTTGCTCATCACTGTAAGAAGGTCTTGATTAGATCCCAGTGATAATCTCAACCTTTCTCTCCTTCTCCTCTTCCTTGCCATCTTTTGCAGCGACCACCCCCACCCCCTCTCTCCATTCCCACCCCGCTAATCTTTGCATCATTCCAATTTTTCCCTCTCCGTCTGCTCTCTCCAGCTCCCACTCTCTATCTGCATTTGATTGCATGTAATGGTGGTAGACTGAGAAGGCAAATTGGTGCTATTCAGTACAGTTCAATCTGGGGCGAGCTGCTGATTTGTCATATTCATCTAAGGGCACCTTTGATTGGCCTAATGGTCTGGAGGAGAGGCAGTATGGGATACTCTGCCTTACTGCAGCTCTCTGGTTGTACAGTAGTAAGTGTGCATGTTTGTTATAGACGGTTCGCACGTTTGAAACTTCAATTCAACCGCTGCGTTACCTCGCTGATCGTGCACTGCCTCTGAAGACGCTTACTTTACTGGATTTTGTGATTTGAATTGTTAAGTTGGATGAAGGGAGGGTTCAGCGTTGCAAGTACCTGCAGTAACGTAATTACTGTATGTCTCATTCTCATCGTTAACCCCGGCGATAACGTCCAACTCTAAATGTTTGCTTCAAATGCCCTTTAAAGTGGACAGCTGGCTCCGTCATCTGAACCGTTGCCACTTGCCAATCAGATATGCCAGTCATCTGCGCGTGCGTGTGTGTGTGTGTGCGTGCACCGTGGTAACCGGCCCA